CATATGTGTCGGGTTCCTTTGCTTTCGGTCGTTGGACATTTCCTTGTCCTGTGTTTCGTGTTGCTGTGAGAAATACCTGAAACTGATTTTCAGTCATTCCAAGTATGCTAGTTCCTGGTGCCGGAGCGGCTGGGGCCAGTGGCACAGGTGCTGCTGATCCCGACATTCTCTCGGGTCATGGGGTTCCTGCAGGAGAGCTATCAACTGGTAATCCTTTCTCTGGGGTTACTGGGCTTGCTGCTCTCGAGGGCTCTGCTGAGACGTGATCTAGGGCGTCGCTGAATCTTCCTAGGTTAAGGTTTTGATCGTCGATGTCGATATCTCCTTCCCTGTCTGGATTGAAGAATGCCGTCTTGTATCGTTTGGCATCGTACTAGGTGACGCTTTATAATGTAACGATCCCTCCTTAGATAGTTAGTTCTTGGCGACGGGGAAAGATACTTCTCTTTCTCTCTTCTCCTTCCTTCGTCTTTCGATAGCTCTAGGCCTCTGCCTATGTTACCGATAGTACCAGACCTTTGTCTTCTATCGGGAACGCCTATCGTAAGCTTTCTCTAACTCTCTTCATAAAGCGCCTTCCTTGGCGTCACGATAATGTTGCAATAAAGATAAAGATAGTGAAGGTGTTTTATATTTGTTAAAGTAATAAGTAGGAAAAGTACTTAGAAGTCAATCTAATTTTTATTTAAACTCATACCGCTAACACTGGCATACGACGAGCGCCTGCTAACACAGGGATACCGCTAGCCGGTATACCACTAATCCTAAGCTAACTAAGTCTACGGTCCCGCACCTGCCATCCCCGAGTCATGCCTGCATGGAAACTAATTACAAGACCATCAAACAACCCAGCGCCCACCCCGGTCCAAGTCCGTAGCCCCTCTAGTATGAAGCCAACCAGCACTAAGCGTAGCCGAAGCTGAGCAAAAGACCAACCCAACCAGGTTCCTCGTCCAACAACCATAAAATCACTACCACTCGGTCTAAACACCGTCACGCAAAACCACCTCCGCCATAGTAGAAAACTAACAAAACCAAAACAAATATAAACTACAGGTGACACAATGGCAGAGAGGAGGTGACACACATGTCCACCTCTCGCATCCACATGTCAGGCTGTCGACCCTATAAACCCACTTTGCCAAGTGCCTCCGAGGAGCATAATGGTGAGGAGGACCTGTACCTGCTGCCTGTCCCCCAAAACAAAATCATAAACAAAGGAAATACATAGGGGTGGTAACAGACCTAAATGGCCAGTAGGGCCTATCTCCTACCCGTGGTGCCTTGCCCCTGCCAGCCATGCCCATTGCCAAACCAAAGAAACCAAACAAATCCCACAAAACCCAGCACGCAAGACCCAAACCAGTCCAACCAGGTGGTCGCAACTGACTATCCGCACAGGTGGCCATCAACCATCCGGGTCATTGAGGAGCTTTACAGCACGCAGCAGCTTCACCCAACAGCCCCATCAGGCTGGAAACACTTAATTAGACATCGCCCAACCTGACACATGCCCAACCGGTGCTCGCAGGTGCCTCTCCCCCCCTAATCAGCCCCCCCCAAGCCCCACACACCAGTTACCACAGAGCCCATCCAGCCCCCTCAGCCCCTCAGGCAGATCAACCACCCAACAGCCACAGGACAGCTATACCTAACCCCATCGGGCAGCCACTAGTCTTGGCCACGCCAACAGAGCCACAACCCTCGACTCCATATAGCTGAGTGGAGCCCACCAGCTGAAGCCGGGAGCCACAGAGGAGGCAGCACCAATACCCGAAGGTACCAGCACCAGCCACACCATCCAGCCCAGCCAAACCGAAGTCTAACCGAGCCGGGAAAGAGTAAGCAGAGCCAGCCAAAGCCAGCCCCACAGGTCCGGCAACAGGCACGGACCGAACGACGGGCAAGAGGCATCCCCAACTGACGCGACAAGAAGGGGGAGGGCAGACGAACAGAAGCAGACAAACAGAAGGTAGGCCCCACTTGCAATAGGTGAAGCTGCCAACTACAGACCACAACCGAACCACCCAGACGTACAGACAACGCGAGTGTCCAGCAGCCAATCATCCCACACCACCCCAGTCAGCAACAATAACCACACCTGGGGGTACGAGTTTTTAAGGGTCAAAGCCATCTCCACAGAGGCGAGGAGGAGACACCTGACTGAATCGCTGTAAATGCAGCAAGGACAAAACTCCAAGGGAACGGTGATAAACAACATCGTAGGATTCCGACCGTAGAAATGTAAAGTAACAAGGCAGGGAGGGGCCGGCGAGGCCCCCGCCCTTGAGGAAGTGATGCGGCCAGTACGACGTGTTGATACTTGGGAAGGTCATCAGTCTAACCCAAGGGCGTTTTGTATCGCGAAAACTAAGAACTCCGTTAAAACCCAACAAAAGACATGAGCTGGTCCAAAGAACGACACGGGTGATCCTCCCAAAACGCAATGTTCAATCCCCCCAAACAAACGCGAAACCTGCGAGTAGACGATAGACAGGAAGCCGTAAACATTTTACCGTAAGGGGCTCAGAAGCGACCGTGATGAGTGCTGGAAGTGCTAGTATCGTGAGATAACCAACCCAACGAAACGAGACGCAAACAAGTTATCCACCACGCAACACCTAACAGACCTCAACACCAAAGACCCCAGGAACTACTGAGCGAACTCAGATATCTCCCCCAGAATCAAAGGCATCAAGGCCCATCATGATGGCGAAAGAAACGCTTGGGGCGAAGCGACAGCAAGGACCAGGAAAAGTACTTAGAACAAAGCGTGAAGAACCTATCTTCCTCGGCCACATCGACCTCCTTATATAGTATTCTTCCCGTCCTTAGTCATGTGACCTAAAGTGGTCACATGTGCAAAACCAAATCATAACAAACTAGTCATGTGACCAAAGTGATCACATACTCAAAACCCATGACCTCCTAGTGAGGTCATGTACAAAACTCATAAACCAATCATAACACAATAAACAAGTCATATGACTCGACTGAGTCATATGCGCGAAACCCATGACTTCATAATGAGGTCATGTGCGAAACATATATCATATGCGCAAGGCTTACCCGCAAGGCACCCTCGCAAGGCATACTTATCCGGCGTACGTCCCATGACTTATACTTGAGCCATGTGCGAAAGCATCACAAATCCTACACATAACAAATCATATAACCTGAATAGGTCATATGCGCAAAACAATAACATACCTGTGACTCATAACCATGTATCACGTGAAAACCTTTTTCATGCTAAGCCACGTTCGTGACAATACCAGCCATTGTAATAGGCATTTTGCAAGTCATTATTTGCTGTTGCTGCAATTGAAAGATGACAGCTATCATTAAAACCAATAGTAAATTGTAAGGGAGGATGTTGGTGCTGGATAAGAGAGAAATACTGATCGCATTGCTGTTTTGTTGGCCAGGTAACTTGTGCTTCATAGAAGGTCCGTAATACTGCCTGTAAAGCAGATAAAGCCCAATTCCGATACCTTGAATACACTGCAGGATTTATGCTAAAAATAATTTGAAGACTATAATCAGTCATTGTTGAGTTGAGGTAATGTTGGATAAGGCATAAAGTATCAGCGGAGGTCAAGGATCAATAATGCACATGAGCTTTTACACTTGACACAACATCATCTCGTAGGATAGGCATAGTATTCCAAGCAGTCTCAAAGCCTGAGTCTAGTAGTTGCTGAAAAACTGAAACTCCAATTCCCATTGTCAAAATGAATACACAATCATCCTTAGATGCATAAAGATACTTCCATGCAGTTGCTGACCAGGAAGATGGACTGAGGTTACTCCATGTTAGATAGAAATGATTTCATCATATTTGTTGCTGGGCAAGGCTTCGATGGATAATAATGAATAAGAGAAGAATTCTCTTCTGAAGAAACTGCTTCATCAGGACTGATAGATGGTAGAAAAAAAATTTGATCTCTTTCTTCCTATAGTCAATGGCTCAGTTATCTCTATGCCAAGTTATTTATTTATACTGGAGACTAATATCATTTTCATTGGATTCAGCATAGTCTGGAGGATTCCTTATCCCATCGCCTCTTTATTTCCAAACTTTTTAAAGTCCTTAATCTGAACCACCCCCTCCCCCACCCTCCTGGTTCAGACATTTGTCAGATTGAGAATCTAAGAGCGTTTTCAGATTTTAGCGCAGGATTTTGCCAAGACCCTTTCTAAATTGCTACCAGATTCCTACGGGAAGACCTCCATTTTACTTGCCTACTATCCTAAACTTGGGAGATCGTATCTGAGATGCTTTGTTTAGCTGTATGATTCTAGAAGCTGGCTTCACACAATATGAGCGCTATATTCAAAGCTCCCTATATAAGGCCGACAAAGCCTCCAATTCCAGCTACCTCTACCGCCGCAGGGGTAGATACTCGTTTTAAAACTAAAAGTTGGTCAATTGATCCTACCGTCGTCACTGGAATCGATTTCCAAGTCTAGGGAGGAGAATGCACTACCCATACCGGCACAACCACGGCCAATATACCTTCATAATAATAATATAATTATGGAATACTGCTACCTGTATTCCAACTGGCGCCCATCCCTGTGCTGGTACAGCAGGCACCCCACCGGTACCGGTACTATACGAGTACCCACGAGTATAAGTGCAAGGTGTTTCAGTTCGGTCTCGCCCACTACCGGTGATTCGGGAGGGAAGAACTACTCGTATAGTACTACCGGCACCCGACCGAGTAAGTGAATGCTCCGTGGGCAGAACCTAATAGGCTTAGCGCTCGGCCCAATTCGAATTGTGCTATCATATTACTCGTACCTTCCCGCTGAGCGGTTTCCTCGCCGACCACCCTCCCCCCCCATCCGCACGCCCCATAAAGTGTCTTCCTTGAAGGATTTCTGAATGCTGCAGTGATGTCAGTGGGTGTGTGGTCTGCGGTAGAGCGTAAGGTTTCCGCGGGGATAGTTATATAAGCTGCCCGCTTCTTCCTCTCTCATTACGCTCCCTTGATCGTATTGTGTGTGAGGTAGCGAAGAGAAGGAGGGAACAACATGGCGACCAACAATATTAAAGCTATTCGCCCCGATGGTGACCCTAGGGTCACGCATAAGTTTCAGGTGGTCAATGGGAAGAATTATCGTATGCACTGATCCCGAGCGAGAGGTGGCTACCGTGGAAGTTGTGCTGCAGACGGCTCACTTTATTGGTGTCCTAGACTATGTCTATGGTAGGCCAACTGGAATTGTCAAGGGAACTATTCTTTGTGTAAGTTTGCTCATAATTTTGGGTCATCATCGTTAACTGAGTTGGTGGTGATAGATCCACGGGTTCCCGGATCTATGGTGTACGTCTCTTCGGAAAGGAGAGCTTGGACGGGATAGCTAATGATAGCTGTAGATGGCTATCGTTTCATGATCCCTTTTCTTTTGGAGAAGGGTTTCTGCGTGATCGTCCCCGACATGCTGGGATATGGGCAAACAGTTCGTTTATTGCTATGCCTAAATCTCTTTTTTTTTTAAAAAAAAAAAAAAATAGAGCGGTTAACAAATTACTAGGATGCACCTAGAGTCCCACCGGCAGACATATCAGCATACTCCGTCAAAAACCATGTAGCTGACATGGTAGAGTTACTTAAGATCCTAAATGTTCCGAAAGTGATCCTTTTCGGGCACGATTGGTACTGCAATATTTGCTCTGCGCCGTCTTGGCATCCACGAGTACTAATACATTAGCAAAACTCCAGGGGTGGAATGATAACGTGGAGAATATACCTCTACAACAGCGAGATAGTATCTCATATCGCCAACGTTTGTACACCTTTTGCATCCCCAATGCGAGAATACATCCCCATTCGTGAGCTGGTAGCAACAAAAATCCCCTCGTTCAAATACCAAATAGCGTTTCAGGACCCACAGACAGAGAAGGATACCGAAGCACCCGGCAAGATTCGGCAGTTCCTTAAGGGGTTGCACAGAGGTCTTGGAGATGAGCGGGGCAATTTCATGGTGGATAAGGATATCGTCGAGAGTGTTGGAGATCTCAAGAGGAGCAAGTTCATGACCGAGGAGGATTTGCACTACTTTACGAAGGAATTCGAGAGGAATGGGTTCCACGGGCCTCTGAACTGGTATAAGGCTGGGAAGGTGAACTATGAGGATGAGAAAGAGTATTCGCACCACCCTTGTTGCTGTCGCCACCAGTTGATATGATGCTGACTGATGGAAAAGTCTTCAGTTTGATGGGGTCAAGGTGCCGTACCTTTTCATCGGAGCGAGACATGACGTGGCTCTTCCGCCTTCTATGGCCGAACCTCAGAAGCGGTTTATCTCACAGCTTACCGTCCGGGTTGTGGAGACTGCCCACTGGGCTATGGTGGAGGATCCGGAGGCCGTTATTGGACACATGAGCGAGTGGTTGGATACTGTTGTTCTTGGTGGCAAGAGCACGCTCTGAAGATATTGTGCTGTGATAGGTGCTTGTACGGTTATGATTTGTGAAATCTGAAACTTTTGTTTATGTTGATCTTGATCCTGCGTTTCTCGGGGGGATTGGTGGATGGGGAAAATGCTGTGAGATTTGTATTTTTACGGCTGCATAGGAGAAAACTATAACGATACAGATCGGAAGGATGGGAGCTAGACCCTCCATTCCCGCCAGGATCCCACAATACCGGTACAGTGCCCGGTTGGCATAGTCCAGTAATACAGCTGGTGTTCGAATACCGGAAATACGGTACGTTACCGCAAGTTACACTAGGACAAAATACCGTGGAATCGCATTGTCCCACCTTAAATTCTGATATCAAGCAATCCTATCTTCCATCCTAGACAAAGCCACATGCTACTCGGACACCCCCACTTGAACGCATCCAAATTGGCCGGCCTTCTACAGAGAAATCGCTTACCGGTCTCTTCACCCGCAACACTGTGCCGGTACTCGAGTATTCACCTCTTAAATCCACCTCCACCAACCTAGATCAAGCTCGGATTCCCTCCCTCCCCAGAGCCAAAAGACTCCACGAAAGAATATTGTTATCCAAATGGAGCATAGCTCAGGAAGGCGGAGCTTACCAGGCCTTATTGACTGGTGTTCGTTATTTTGTTAGTCTAACTCGCACTGTTGAGCCTATTGTGATTTGGACAGCGACCTCTGTCGAGATTCCCGGTGGCGGGTTCAATAAGCATGATGCATACGGTGCATGTATAGTGCTTTACCGAGTTTTTACCAAGCTTAGTCATTTGAGTGAGGAGGGTGTCTGGGTGGCTTGTGCTTTTTGTCCATTTCGCCTTTGCTCATGGTCGGGGAAAGCAAATGTGGCGCTCAGTTTTTTCCTCTTCTTCCCCATGAGATAGGCTTGCATGGTACAGGTCACAAATCACCTATTATGATCTGTATACTGGTATGATAGGCTATCATACTATCATTCTTGTTTCTAATCGAGGCTAATATATCATTTATGAAGAATCAGAAGCTTATTTATCAGATAAATCTTGCCCATCACTCCCAGATGACAGCACTTCCATCTAGTCTACTTCCTTCTCTATTATATATCTCTTCTCAATTGGTTGTCGTCCTCATATATTTTCAACTTGAGGATTTCATTTGTAACATTTTGTAACCGAGAATTAATTACATTAACTGTACTGGACAATATGTACCAGTTGATAATCTGTATTATGTAGCCCTGTCCTATGGAAAAAAAAAAAAAAAAGGTTGGCCGTCACACATTCTTTTCCCTAACTAAATTATGAGCAACGCGAAATAGAAGCTATTATCATAATTATTATTATCATTCACGAGGAATTCTTGGCAAAGATGTTGTGAACGCAACTATCCTTGATGACGGTCGGCTGACGACGCCCGGTGCTAAGTCTAAGAGTACTCGAGCACGTTACCGCACCGCACCCTCCCGAGCACAGAATGGCAAGTTGCCAGATGCTACCACCCGAACCGTAAATCCAGCCGAGTGACATGCCGTGATTAAAGCGTGAGAAACCCAGACTGTGGCACAATCACCGGCACGGCAATTGTATCATGACAGGAGAAATGCGCGTGATCCACTTCGAGGCGGGGACATATGACAAGCTACATTCCATCCACGCTTTATTCTGAGAAGCATGTAAAATTACTGACCGCTCGTCTCACGGCCGCTGCTTCGTGCCATACCAGAGGATCGATATCACCACCCGCGGGAGAGACACCTGCACGACGCCACACCGTGCCACACGGCAAGTGCATGCAGAGGATCCTGCCGCTTCTGTAGGTGTGTTCTGTCCGACGCTAGATGCTCACCGCTGATTATGGCAGTGATGAACGGACAGTCGCAAATTCTACGAGTAGGATGTGACTGCCAGATGGTGTGTTGAAGATCAGTCGTGCGGGCAATCTTCTTGGCTGAGCCTGGCAGCCTGGAGTGAGCCTGGGAGCTGGATATGGTGGAGGGAACCTTTAACCGGAGCACATTCGACTTGAAAAATGCCCACTCCAAACTGCTAAGACTCCTCGACAACTTTTATTTTTTATTTTTTTCTCTATCTATTTTTTGATAGACAATAAACTGGAGGCCTCGAAAATAGAAAGGGATTCCGGAAATATTAGGGCGTGCTTGGCACATCATGATTTGAGCTGTTTCTTAAATCGTGACTTGCGATTGCGATTTGGAAACTAGCCAATCACACTATGCAAAGAGAGGTTATGTAAGCAGGTTTTTCGGGTACCGTATGCTGTTGGTTAGTTTTCGGCCTCCAATCGCAAGCCATGATTTGAGATAGCGAACAGCTCACAGTGTGCCAAACAGCGCCCTTAACTTTTGGGCGAGCAATAGGGATTTGAAGTTGGGTGAGGGAAACACAATGGTGCCTACAGTTATTTTCTGTTAAAATTGCCAAGATGTCAGTTAACCTTGCCAAGAAAACCGAACCAACCGACTATTAACCGTATTTGGACAAACTTAACATGTAATACTGAGCGGAATTGAATGTTGTTAGTGCTCTAGTTTAAGGCTTCCCACCGTGTCGTTTGGGGATGAGATGAGGGCGAAGCTCAATGAGAGGAACGATGGTGGGATGGCGGGGAGATGGCGTTGCATATCGTTGTAAGATAGGGGAACCTCGGAGCCCCGCGATTATCACTTGCGAAGGGGGGATAGGCATTCGATTTGCCGCTGAATTCTTCCGAATTGGTGGGAGGGGGGGCGCTGGTGGTTGGGTTGTGATGGGTTAAAAGGAAGGGGGCGTAGTGATGATCATGAGGAGTGGCTGGGAAAGGAACAAGTTGTGGCGGGGGGGGGGTTCCCCATGCCGTAAAAAAGATGGGAGAGATGGCGGTAGTTGTGTAGGCTGTGGCGCTATTGGATGGGTTCTCCGTGAGCATTAGAAAGGCTAACTGGATCTCTGGGACTCTTTCGACGGACTTACCGGTACGAGTACATGATGCCGTTATTCTCCTGGTTCCTCCTCCTATTGTAGTTCCTCCCGTCTACTCGAAGCTCTTGGAGGACTCGTTTGAACGCCCGTGCAACGACCTAAGTCTCGGTATGTGTTTACGAGTATGTGCCAAAGCCCAGAGAGCCTCTCCAGTTACCCCTCGCCGCGCCTCCAAATGGTGCGAATCGCCACAGAGACAACTGATAACTATCATCCTCCTCCCCTTCTTATGTCTTGCCCATCAACCCGACGTGCAGCCATCCTTCCTTCAGTCACGTGCCATGTTCCGAGTGCTTTCGTGTGAGCATCAAGGGGCCTCGTGGCGCCTCTTGGCGTTGGATGGGTGTTACACCTTGTGCCAAAGTAAGGGGTACCACGGGGCACGAGTATGCCCCAAAGTATGATACCCTATTCGACTTGTTGCCGGAATGTTCCCCTCATTTTCACGCGTGTGCTCTATCTCTTTTGCCGAAACCTCCAACTGGAGCACAGTGCTGCCTTAATTGTGAAACAATAATACGAGCCATACATGATATCGCATGCCAAATCTAATAGATACAGTTTTATCTACTCAAGGAGCTCCCTCGGCAAGTACAAGTCAAGAGGGAGGGGGGGAAGGAAAGAAACTCGGAAATTCAGAAAAAAAACACCACCATTAATCATAAACCAATCATAAAGAAGGAGAAAAAAGATACAAAGATATCATACTAGCTATAAATAATTACTAGGTGAAAAAAAGACGGCAACTCTTATCTCCCACCAATCTGCCCCTTCGGGATAGGCCTTATCCAACTGATTCCAAGGTTGATTCCGATACAGATTGCCCCGATGATCATGATGACTTTGTCATAATTTGTGCCATTGTATCGGAAGATGACACTGAAAATGACACCGCCCAAGTTGCCCGCAGCGCCGACTACTCCCGATAGAATACCATTGGCGAATGGGTGCACGTGCGGGACCAAGGCGAAGTTGCCGCCGTTAGAAGCGTCCATGAAGAATGCCAATCCACTGTATGTAACTCCTTGTTAGCGTGTCGAAAAAAGAGTAGGGGAGGAAGGAAAAAGTATGGGGAGTGTCAGGTGACTTACGCAACAAGCCCAAACATCGTAGATTCGTCGTGTGGGTTCAGGATTCCAATAGCCAGGCAGAAAACACCTTGCATGCAGCCGATGAAGACAAGCCACCATTTCTTCGCCGCGACACTCTTCGTATGTCTGTAAATGATGTCCGCGATAATCCCACCAGCAGGTCTGAAGAAAACGTTGAGAAGACCAAACATAGCGGCCCACCTTCCGGAGTTCGTCTGCCCAAGGTATTTGAAGTTCTTGATGTAGTATGATCCCAGAATCGAGTTAATCGCCAACTCCCCACCGAAGGAGCAAGCATACGGTGCCGCGAGCATAAGACATTGCAGTGAGAAAATGACCTGTATAGCCTCCTGAAGGGTAGGAGCCTGAATGACCTCGCTCTGAACGATGGTTTCCAAGTCAATGCTTGCGCTGCTACTAGCGTTCTCCGGGTCGCTAGTCTTCTTGTCTTTCTCTGAGTACGGGGCACCCTTGGGAGACTCGTCTGCGGTGGGGGCGTCGTTGATGTTTCCGGTCGCATCCACGATCTTACCTTCGATTGTGCGTGGAGTAAAGTTGTGCCTATCGGCCCATGAACCAGTTGGCGTGTCTTCGCAAATGAATATCATGCCCAAGGCCATCGCAACAATGAGGATGAAAGGGACCACGAAGGCTACGCGCCAGGCTTTGTGTGGAGTCAGGCCGCGGTCGTGAACCAAGGAGTCGAAGATTGCGGGCATGACGAAGCTGGGTGTTAAGGTTAGGATTTTGTGATCCAGATGTAAGATGTAGATCAGAGTTCTCACTATGTGATTCCACCACCAGCGTTACCAATACCGGCCATGAGTCCATTGGCGGTTCCAACAACGTTCTTGTCGAAGAAACCAGTTGACCAGACTTGACAAGGGACAAATGTGGCTCCCAAGACGCCCACGAAGAAGCGGAGGGCGAGGAGGCCGGTTGCGTTGTGGACAAGTCCAGCAAGGGCAGTGGGAATTGAACCTGCGAGCAGGATTCCGGCAAAGCAGAGACGGGGACCAAAGCGGTCGCAAAGAGGGCCGATGAAGAGACGGACGACGAGACTATATTTCCCAAGTGTTAGAAGAAAATTCTATGCATATTTGGGGGGGGAGGGGGGGGGAAGTAAAGGGTGAACCTACGTTGCGGTCAAAGCAAGGACGTTAGAATTGGCAACTTCGGCCTGGGTCAAAGCCAGGTCTTTCTTGATGGTTTTTCCCATCTATGGAACAGAGTAAGTTAGCCACCGGAAGAAGGGAAAAAGAAGGAGGCGGGCGCATATAATTTGGATCAAATACTTACCAGTGGAGGAAATGCGTACCATGACAGGAACGCAATCATGAATCCGAAAGTCGAAAAGAAGAAAGTCCGTCCATACTTGTCGTAAGGATTCAGAATAGGCACCGACCTGGCTTTGTGGTTCGCCGGATTAACTTCGGGCGCCTTCCATAGGAGACTCAACTGCATTGTGAAGGGTGTTCTTTGCTTCCTTCGGGTCCGAGTGATAGGCAGCGAAAAAAGTACAACTTGTTGAAAAGTTCAAAGGGGGTATTTCGCAAGAGGTCCAATTGGTCTCTTATATTTCACCCGAATTTCTCTTGAGGAGAACCAGGGAACTGCTGGGTTTCTTCCAGCTTTTATATATCGGTCTCCAAGTGCGGCCCCGAAAATGATAGATAGTCAGATTTATAGATAGCTAGATTGATAGATAGAGAGCGTAGATAGGACACTGCTATCTCGAAAAAACATACGGTTTGTCCCGTCTTGGCAGCCCAGCGCTTAGAGGCCAATCGAATAAGGGGAATTCCAATCGTTCATGTCTACAGTCAATCAAGTGCCTCAGAGCTGTTGTGGACCTCGTACTCTTTTCGATCATTACTCACAACAGATAGCAGCATCGAAAAACTGGGTAGTCAAACATCAGCAGTGGTCAAGAAGGGTCTAGATCGGAGGTGAAGGAAATAGCAAAAAAAACCTGGGGGAGAGGAAGGAAAAAAAAAAAAAAGAGGGTCCCATGCAAAATACAATTTAGGCAGATTCCAGAGGTTCTTCCGAGAGGGTATAACTGGATTGAGAAGGTCTTGGATGCGGGTGCTATCGGGGAACATCCCCGTGGGAATTGAGAGAACGGCGAACACCCCGACGACTGGAAATTCCTTGTGGGGGGAGGGGGAACCCGGTTGCTGGGATGGAGGAGAGTGTAAGGATAAGAAAGTATGCAGTGGATGGGCTTGAAATGATACAGAAAGTCTGAGTACAAACATCTTCACACACACAACCCAGATAAGGGGTCCCCTTGCTATCTCAGTCAATCCTGGGGGGGTTACTGAATCGGACTAGCTACAAATTTGGTGACTGGCTAACCGGCTTGGCAGATCTTGTCGTTTGAAAAGGGAAAGTGCTCGGGTGTGTTGGTATTGGGGAAGGAATCGGAAATCAAATATGATACCTGATAATTCATTCAGCTTGATCCCCCAACGTGGCCTCAAAGTACAAGTATCGGTGTTGTAACTCTAAATAGGCTTGTCATTATTGAGCCGGGAGTTTTCGGTTGGGGGTTTTTTTTTCTTTCAGCGTTTTCTTGCTTGGGAATCCCAACGGGTGTCGCCCCCCAGCTCCTGGAGGCTCGTCAACGTTGGGGGGTATGACAGTCAACCCCGCGATCGCCTACCGGTACCACAGCCTTCAAGCCAGTGGACAGTGAAAAGGGAAATTGAAGTTGAAGCTGCGAAGTGTGCCGGTGCCGGTAACAGTGTACGAGTACAAGTAGAGAGTAAATTATTTTGGTGTGCCGTTGTCGATGCTCTCGCGCAGGGATAAGGGTGTGCCATGTCCGAGTACCCGATTCCCGCGATCTGGCGTTGGCTTCGTTGTGGGCGGACAGCCAGCTCAGCCGCTTGTCGTGGGGGTTGAATCCAGGGATTTTATTGACTTTCCGGCCAGCACACCAATGAAGAAAATAGTGGGACAACGGCATTCCCCATAAAAAAAAATTAAAAAAATAAACAGGGGTATTCGGAACAGTCATCAACCACCCCCAAAATCTTTTTGAGGTAGGCCTCAATTATGATATCTCCGGGAATAGCCCAGACAAATTTTCGAGTCCTTGTCTATGGCTGCTGGAATTGGAATTAACGCCCAACAGTGCCCCCTAACGGGCATTTTTTGGTGTGTCAACAGGAAGCTTCTCGAGTTGCCATTCTACTTGAGATAACTGGTAAGAGTAGAGCAGGAATGGTGTGCCAGACTCCTGGTTGATATTAATGTGCAAAAATCTCCTTATTTTGGCATGCAACGGACATTGTCCACTACCCTACCCTCTTCACTCGTGTGCTAGCAGGGCGTCTTCGAGGCAATTAAGAGCAAAGAACGATGGAGCATTTATTTTTTTGCTCCTGGCCGCACTTACCGCTTTCATCATCAAGGATCACTCGCCAGCTATTAGTTGCCCATAGAATCTCTTAGGATGTTGGGTTCTGATCCAGTGCATGGTTAGATGCGCAATAATATCTGCCTCAACTGCCAGTCTTGAAACTTCATTGTTATCCGCTCCTGATATGTGATTGTTTCTTCGGCGAGCAGAACTGTTCCGCGGAGCAGTTCTCCGGCAGCCAGGTACCAGGGGGAGATTCTCTATCAGATGGTCCCACACAATTCCGTGGGACTACTCGTAGTGAGCCCAAGAGCCGTAGGGCTAGTAATACTCTGCGGGCCGAGAGGCCGATTTATTCCAAGTAGGAGGTGGTAAGAATAATTAGAGATCTTGAACCAATTTGTATCTTCCTATTGGCTGTCGGCAGGGATCACCTTCCGCTGGTGTTTTTCTAACAAGGTTGGAAAAGCACAACATTTTACCCCCTCGGTTTGCCCGAGTAAATCTACTGTCCCTACTAATCTTCTGTTAAACCAGTAGTCTTGGGGTAGCATCCGTTTCTAGTACATTTTTGCTAAAGCTCTCGGGAAACACCCTAAACTTCACTGAGATTCCTCACGCAACGACAATTTTGTGTTTAGCTCAATATACCAGTTGAAAATGAACACCCTCGACACTGTTTTTGGATGGCTCTTGAGCCTACTCTCTCTGATCCGATTTTTCAGGACGACGAAGAAATTGGTTATTGATGGCACTACTTCCTCTATCAGCATTCCCAACGTGGAAACAAATCCTCATATACCTCCAAGCAACGCTTTCCTAGGGAATCCGAACCAATTAGCTCCACCGACTCCCCCGGAGTCGGACAAAGGCGACGATGAATGCGATGATTTGGAAAATATACCACTTCCGCCACCGTCAGTAAACCCAACAACCGTCCTTGATGTCGATGTTGGAACGCCGGATTCACATGTCCCCAGGGACCCAAGATTGATACGCCTAACGGGAGTGCACCCATTTAACGTTGAGGCACCTCTTTCGGCATTATTTGACTCTGGCATGTTCTTGGATTCTCCCAATATTCTGGAAATAGGGCTAACATAGTGAATATAGGATTTTTGACCCCTCCGGAACTCTTTTATGTCCGAAACCATGGAGCTGTTCCAGAAGTCCATGACGACGAAATGCTGGACTGGACAATAACGATCGAAGGGTAAGTCAGAATACGATCCCCGTGCACGATCAAATGGACATATTGAGCTGACATTGAATATTGCACAAAAGGTTGGTAGCCAACCCCCTGGCTTTGACCTTACGTCAAATCATCACCGGATTCGAACAGGTTACTCTTCCTGTCACTCTTGTCTGTGCAGGTAATCGTCGAAAGGAGCAAAACCAGGTTCGAAAATCTCAAGGATTCTCATGGGGTGCTGCGGGTGTCTCCACGTCGCTTTTCACAGGCCCACTTTTGGCATCCGTTATTGCCGCTGCAAGGCCCCAACGAAACGCCAGATATCTCTGTATGGAGGGGGCAGACGAGCTTCCAAACGGGAATTACGGGACTTCCATACGTCTTTCTCAAGTCTTCGATCCCAATCGCGGAATTATGCTTGCGCACAAGATGAATGGCGAGGAACTTCGCCCTGATCACGGGCGTCCCCTCAGAGTGGTTGTTCCATCTATGATTGGTGGGAGATCTGTAAAGTGGTTAAAGAAGATCATACTCACGGAGTCGCCGAGTGAGAACTGGTATCATATCTACGATAACAGAGTTCTGCCAACTATGGTCACACCGGAGATGGCCAAGGCGAACAAGGACTGGTGGACCGATGAGCGGTATGCGATTTATGATCTTTCTGTTAATTCAGCGATTGCATATCCCGCACACGACGAGACACTGTCGATGGAGACAACAAAGGAACAGTACAATCTGAAGGGTTACGCCTACGCTGGGGCTGGGAGGAGGATTACTCGTGTTGAAATTTCCCTTGATAAGGGCAGAAGTAGGTTTTTCCTCTATACTCAAGTACATTTTTCGCCAAATGCTGATATAATTGCATTCAAGGCTGGATTCTATCCTCGGTAGAATATCCGGAGGACCTGTACCGATCTATTCCTGAAAATGCCACTCTATTTGGAGGTCGCCTCGATGTTGGCTCGCGAGACGCCTGTTTGTGCTGGTGTTTTTGGTCTCTGGATATTCCTACCTCAGCCTTGTTTGCTGCGGATGATATCGTTGTTCGAGCCATGGATGATAGCATGAACACCCAACCAAGGGATACCTATTGGTCGGTATTGGGGATGATGCACAATTCATGGTTTAGGGTCGCAATCCGTAAGGAAAACGGCCGTATTAGATTCGAACACCCCAACCAGCCAGCACTGCTAAAGGGTGGATGGATGGAAAGAGTGAAAAAGGAAGGGGGCGATCTATTGGGCCTTAATTGGGGTGAGAGGGTGATGGGAGAGGAGTCTGTTGCTGGTGGGGCTACCAGTGCTCCGGAGGTCCGAGACACCGTGAAGATGACGGATGATTCCGTGCAAAGGACAATTGAGATCGAGGAACTTAGGGGCCACGACAACGCCAGTGAGCCATGGTTTGTAGTCGAAGGTGAAGTGTATGATGGAAAACCTTTTCTTGAAGAACATCCGGGAGGGGCGACAAGCATCATATCCGCTGCCGGACAAGATGCAACTGATGAGTTTGTGGGGATTCGTAAGTCATTACTTTTCCGATGGAGAATCAGAGAGCTAATGCTTTATCAGATAGCGAAAGCGCAAAGGCGATGATGCCAAAATACCATATTGGTACGCTAAGTGCTACGGCGCGTAAACTTCTTCTTGAGCCGGCCGCACCATCCAAGAAGGGACCCTCAGAAACATTCTTGGATCCACGAGCATGGTGTCAAGCAGCCCTAGTGCAGAAAAAGGTGGTATCATGGGATACTAGAATTTTCACCTTCGAACTCGATAATCCTACACAAACACTAGGTCTTCCCGTCGGGCAGCATCTTCTCATCAAGATACGGGACGAAAAGACCGGAGAGGTGATTACGCGGCCGTACACTCCCATCTCATGTAACACTGAGAAGGGTGTTGTTCACCTACTCGTGAAAGTATATTTCGATACACCAACCGCTCTTGGTGGAAAGATGACACAAGCTATGGACAGGATGCGTAGGTTTCCCTTCTATCATGTATTCCTACTACTTTATTGCTAACCCGGTAACAGAAATGGGTCATACCGCTTCCTTCAAGGGTCCCATCGGTAAACTTGTATATCATGGGCAAGGTGTCGTTTCTCTCCTTGACAATCGGATCAATGTCACATCATTCCTTATGATCTGTGGCGGAAGCGGAATAACTCCCATTTTCCAAGTCCTCAGGGCAGTCCTTTCTGACCCTACGGATTCTACAACGTGCGTTGTCCTCGACGGGAACAGAGCAGAGGAAGATATTCTGTGCCGAGAGGACTTGGATTCGTTCGCAGCGACATATCCGGAAAAGTGCAAGATCGTTCACACTCTTTCAAAGCCCTCAGAGCGGTGGCAGGGTGAGAGGGGCAGAATTGGGTGGGATCTGATCAAGCGGAATTATCCACAAGGCTGCGAGGGCCGTAAACCCTTAGCACTAATATGTGGGCCCGAGTCATTGGAAAAGAGCGTTAGGGGCCTGCTAACAGCCGGTGGGTGGGGGGAAAGTGATATGGTATTTTTCTAGGCGCTTTTCTTCTTTTTCTTTCACCGATGTTAGACAGATTTTGTAGATTTGGGTTTATGGTCATGGCTTTTGGTTCTTTTTTCTGCAAATATTGATAGCATTAGAATTAAAGGTTTTAATCCTCAATATTTCCACGCGCTACCCCACTTGCTGTCTATGTTAAAACACGATCATTCAGCCGAGCTTCCTGTGAAGAAAATTTTTAAATGGTGGGGGTGTTTTAGAATCTTTAATTAGAGGAGTCAGCTTTACGATAGGCCCAGTATGTACCCCATTCCCCACAATGCTCAGCACATAGCAGATCTAAAGCTTCCCTTTAAACCCCACGCGATATGTGGGAGACCCCGCAATGCGCCCCCTCTGTTTCTTTTTTCTTCCTTCCTTTTTTTTCTTCTTGCGGGGGCTGCAGGGGGTGCAGTCCTTTTCCAATCATTTCCAGACCAAATACTGTGATATTATTAATTTTTTTTAATTTTCAATCCATCTTCACCAATTATCACCCGATGTCTTGGTGACATGTGCATACTGGTGTTCTTTTCCTACTCTAGGCACCCCCCAAAAACCGCCACCGAAATGTTACATAGGGTGCCGATACAACACATCCAGGCGTGGGAAACGCGGCACCAGCGCTCTAGCTAATAAATTTGGCGCGCATCTCATATATCGAGCATTGTTGTGGTCCAGACCGTTCTCAGCCAAGCCACAGGCACACACTTATCACAACAAACGTTTTTCCAACAAACTACGAATTTTCTTATCAGTTTATTTATAATAACGATCTTGGGGAACGCATCGGACATTTCTTTGAAGTGGTGGTGGTGGCTCTTGGGGTTTTTCCGTTATCAACGGGCGTCCGCTGCACCATGCTTTTCCATCGGCCATTTCTTGGCTCCAGTTTCCGCGGGGTCTTTCTCCGTTTATTAGGGACCGGCCTTGCCTCGGCGTGTCCATGGGGGAACCGGGAAGGCTGATATCCCTGCCATTCAAGGTTAGTTGATCGGAAGACAACAAAATGTGGAAACCCCCAAATAAGGGATCGGCAGTCCAAGAACCCGTAGTATGTCGAAAAGGAAAAAGAGAGTGTTCGTGGGGGGAAGAATCTAGTGAGACCAAGAGAGAGCCTTGCGATGCTGGAACGAACTGTATTCTCCATTTTTTTCTTACTTGCAATCCACACCTTCACCCCTTAGTTCGCTTTATATTGGTCTCCTGCCAGGCATCGTCGTGATATATATGGCACCTTGTAACGTTCCTTGTTCAAGATGTCTGGTTACCTTGTTGTGCTTTCAAGACAACTTTATGTCCTGTCCATCCATCCACCTGTTCCCTGCTTTGCTGACCCTTAGCTTCCGATTATTATAGACACACCTGAGCACTTCTGCCCGCAACACCTAAATCGATATGTCACAACAACAAGGCTATCGAGTTGATTGACTTTCCTTGACCCGTTAGTCCCCTTAATTATAGCGCTACTAGGATTCTCCGAGATGTCGGAGGGAGAAATCTCTCCTCCCGTAGTTTGCCGTGCAATAGTGCCAATAGCGAGTACAAGTACTGGTACTGATATTTTCGCACCAGACAGAGATAGTTAGCCAGAAAAATAACCCCTCCCCTGTCTTGCACGAAAAAGTTCTCCTTGGGTACTTGCATTCTACTCGAGTACCGGTACCGTAAGAACTGGAATACCGGTACCGTAATCGAACCTCATTCCAGGACGTTGGGGCTGCCTCTCCCACTGAGGCCTGCCCTACTTTTCTTTTTATCTGCCTCAATGGAGGGCCGAAAACTAGCTTTTTTGGGGTGATTCCCCCCGCTATCGAAAGAGGGGAATTCTGGACGCCTCAGCATGAGGCTCGATTATTTCAATTCTTGGTACGTACCAGTATTTGAAACCCAGCTGGACTGATACGCGCCTGTGTCCTTCAGTTTGAGAATCGTCGCGGCAGCGGGATTTTTGGGGTTTTCTTACCCAGAGTTAATTGCTTGGCCTAAACGTCTCTAGTAATTTTTTGTTCCGGCAGTGCAGTAGTAATGGAGAATATCTCCTTTGACAAACAAGGTGTTCCTAATTGGCGGCAGCAGCGTTATTGGCCTGGACGGGCGATATCTAGGAGCTTCTCCCTAGTGTGGTCGCCAATTCTGATATCCCCGCTTCCTCTGAATTGCGGGTTACTCTTATCCCTTCCTAGCACTCCCGCTATCTTGCGGGTTGTGGAAAGGCTGTTATCAACTGTGGCAAACTTGACTTATTGATAAAGTGCTGCGATGGATTATTTTCTGGACCTTCTCTGTCTCGTTATCCTCCTGTTTCTAAGTCGTTATTCATCTAGCCCCACAAAAATCCCCGTAACAATTGACCTTTCTCTGACTACCAAGAGCGAAGACACAATATTAGCGCCGGTGGTGATGGACAGCAAACCTTCAATTGCCAATGAGGATGGCCCGACTGAAACGAATGGAGCCAACGGAATGACGAATGATATGTCAGGTGGTGAAAATGGCACAGCCCCACCATCGCCCCAAAGAAAACGAATAGTAATTGTTGGCCTGGGGATGGTAGCAATTGCATTCATGTATGCCTTCCTCCCAACAAACGTTGCTGTTTCCTAGCTAATTCGTTGCGTCAGTGAAAAGATCCTAAAGCTTGATGCCGAAAGCAAACAGTACGAGATCGTGGTTATCGGGGAGGAGTCTCATGTGGCATACAACCGTGTGGGATTGACTTCATTTTTCGAACACCGAAAGGTCGAGGACCTCTACTTGAATCCAAAAGAATGGGTATGTACGAGACTCTGGCAGGCGTTACTTAATGACCGCTAGCGAAGAATTTGGACTGACTGGAACATTAGTATGAATCAAAACCGGGTGTCCTAAACCACAAAATCAACACCAAAGTCACAGCCATCGATCCTATATCAAAATCAATAACAACATCCGCCGGCTACGATGTAACCTACGATATTCTAGTGTTAGCAACTGGCTCCGACGCTGTTGTCCCATCAAATACGCCCGGACATGACAGCGAGGGAGTATTTGTTTACCGGAATATCGAGGATTTGGAGAAGTTGATATCATTCTCTGCCACAGTAAATGAATCAACCGGTTGTGTAGTGGGTGGTGGATTACTTGGTCTTGAAGCCGCGAAAGCGATGATGGACCTCGAGCGGTTTAAATATGTCAAGCTAATTGATAAAAACCCTTGGGTTTTGTCAAGACAGCTAGATCAAGATGCCGGGAGATTGGTGCTTGAGAAGGTTACAGAGCTGGGACTTGACGTATTAAGTTGCAGAAAGATTAAGACGATCAATTCCGACGAGAATAATCAAACCAAGAGTGTCACGTTTGAGGATGGAGAGACCATGGAAACTACATGTATTTGCTTTGCAGTAGGTTCTCGTATGCCTACCTGATGGTGATCGCTGCTAACCGTTATATAGATTGGTATCAAACCTAGAGATGAGCTCGCTGATAGTGCCGGAATCAAGACTGCCAGTCGCGGGGGTTTTATTATTAACAAAGAGTATGTCCTACTTTTTATGTCTTAATTTCTCAATTTATCTTGTTCTCACCGTGAGCGGTCAACAGCGTCGAAACAACAGTCCCTGGGATTTATGCGATCGGGGAATGTGCTTCATGGGAAAACCAAACTTTCGGTCTGATTGCTCCCGGAGTCGAGATGGCCGACGTCCTTGCATTCAATCTCTGCAAATCGACTTCGCATGGCCATTCTGAGGCACCAAAAGCTTTCAGACGCCCTGATCTCTCAACCAAACTGAAGTTGCTTGGTGTCAATGTCGCTTCCTTTGGTGACTTTTTCGCGGACCGGGATGGACCTAAAGAGTTGCCTGGTCGCTCTCCAAGCCAGGAGAGGAGAGGAAGGGAAGTCAAGGCACTTAGTTACAGAGATCCCTTCCAGGCTGTTTACAAAAAGTACATTTTTACGTCAGATGGAAAATATCTACTTGGTGGCATGATTATTGGGGACACAATGGACTATATTAAACTCGTAGGAATGGTCAAGTCCAAGAAAGCGTTGGAAGTCCCGCCTTCGCAATTAATATTAGGCGCAAAAACCGAGGGAGAGGAGAACCCAGACGACTTGTAGGTTTCCCTGTCCCAAGTTGATTCTACTGAAAACTTGCTAAAGTGATGCCAGGGACGACGACACCCAAATTTGCTCATGCCACAACGTAACGAAAGGAGATATTAGCAAAGCGGTGAAAGACGGCAGCTGCAAGAGCTTGGGAGATGTCAAGTCTTGCACAAAAGCCGGCACCGGATGTGCTGGCTGCATACCACTCGTTCAGACAATCTTCAATGCAGAGATGAAGGCCATGGGAGCCGAAGTTTCAAATCATCGTTGGTCACTCAATTTCCTTCACTCTACCGCCGCTAATGCTTTACAGTTTGCCCACACTTCGCCTACTCCCGTGCTGACCTTTTCAATATTATTAGAGTGAAGGTTAGCTCTTTTCAGGCGCTCTCAATGGGCATGCTGACATCTGCAGGAAATAAAAACCTTCCCTGAAGTAATGCGCGAGTGCGGTAAAGATCCCGAATCGCTTGGCTGTGAGGTATGCAAGCCGACTATGGGGTCTATATTTTCTTCTCTCTTCAACCAGCATGTAATGGATAAACCTTTGCACATGCTTCAAGAGACGAACGATAAGTTCCTTGCAAACATTCAGCGAAACGGGACCTTCTCGGTTGTTCCTCGGGTGCCCGGCGGGGAAATCACGCCCGATAAACTCATCGCTATTGGTACAGTAGCGAAGAAATATAGTTTGTATTGCAAGATCACTGGTGGGCAGAGGATTGATATGTTCGGTGCGCGAAAACAAGACTTGGTGGCCATCTGGTCAGAGCTTGTAGAGGCGGGGATGGAGAGTGGGCATGCTTACGCTAAGAGTTTGAGAACAATCAAGGTTTGTTTTGCATTGACCTCGATTCTCGAAACTCGCTGATAGTGTTATCCAAGAGCTGTGTAGGGACTACATGGTGCCGCTTCGGTGTCGGCGACAGTGTTGGCATGGCAATCAGGCTGGAAGAGCGGTACAAAAGTATTCGTGCGCCACATAAAATTAAATCTGGTGTTTCGGGATGTATTCGGGAATGTGCAGAAGCCCAGAACAAAGAGTAGCTTACTCAATTCTCTCAAAATATCCGTTCTACGCTAACCTCTGATGCTATGATAGCTTCGGCCTTATTGCCACCGAGACAGGGTACAACATCTTTGTTGCTGGAAACGGGGGCTCCAAGCCTCGCCACTCCGAACTCTTAATCAAGGATTGTCCCGTAGAAAGGGTTATCCCGATCCTGGACCGCTACCTAATGTTCTACATCCGTACCGCAGACAGGCTCCAGAGAACAGCCCGCTGGATTGAAAATCTCCCGGGAGGAATCAAATACCTAAAGGAAGTAATCCTGGACGACAAGCTCGGGATTTGCGACCAGCTCGAAAAGGAAATGCAAGACTTGGTGAAGACCTACTTCTGCGAATGGACGGAAGTTGTGAAAGACTCAGAGCGACGAAAGTATGCACTTGCCCTTGCCCCACATTCCTGATCAGGTGATACTAATCCACTCCCCTAGACAATTCCAGCAATTTGCCAACACCTCCGACGCCAGCGAGACCGTAGAAATTATCAACGAGCGCTCCCAATCCAGGCCAACATACTGGCCCAAAGGAAGTGTAAAATACGACTTCAAAAACCACCGCTGGTCAAATCTAGCCTGGCAACCCATCATCGAAGCCTCATACTTCTCTAGCGCGAATCTCTCAACACCCGTAACTGCTGCGGTCAAGCGGGGTGATACCCAGCTCGCCATCTTCAAAGTGAGAGGCAAATACTACGCCACCCAGCAGATGTGTCCTCACAAGCGGGCCTTCGTCCTCTCGGACGGCCTGATAGGCGAAGACCCGGACGACGGCACGGAAGAGTGCAAGGAGAAGAGGAAAATGTGGGTCAGTTGCCCGTATCACAAGAGGAACTTCACACTTGACGGCAAGACTCCCGGCGGATGTGCGAACGACGAAGAGGTCAGTATTGCGACGTTTGATGTGGAAGAGAGAAGTGACGGGTGGGTTTACTTGAAGTTGCCGAGTGTGGCGGAGTTGGACGCCTTGCTAGGGACCGAGAGGTGGAAGGTCAAGAAGGAGGAGTCGGAAGATCCGTTTAAGGACATGGACAAAAAGATTAATAGTAGTAACAAGGGACGGAAGGCTGTTAAGCCCACCGAGGCCGCGGGTGGGAATGGAAGTCCGACGGAGAAGAAGATCAATGGGCTAGAGTGGTAGAATGGGCATGGGTGTACTCTTTTTGTGCTGTACATATATGGTTTTATTCTCGGAGTTTTGTAGAACTGTCCTAGGAGATACACGAACCTCCTGTTAAATTTCAGCTGCCTCTCTTCAACATCGCTCACTGATATTTTTTTTCGTTGAGCATTCTTACTTGGCGAGAGCGCATCGTAACTTCTGTGTATCCCCCCGACCAGCAGACTACCCATGCGAAGTATCATACCGAAGTGAGCACCCACACGGGCTATCCTGAAAAGTCACGTCTGAATATTTTCACTTAATCCACTTTCCACCGACCGGGTTTGCCCCGAGTGGGCTATTTTGATATGATAGGAATTTGTTTTATCCCAATGACTCAACTTCTACTAAGTTTTCATTTCACAGGAGCAGTTCACTACCCCAAGAGAAAAAAATAAAGAAGGGTCAATGTTATGGCAATGTCATGTGATACAAAAAGTACGATCTTGGTGACAAGAGGAACAGACATGCACCGGGTTTTCCATAATATAGATTTCCCTTTTTCAACGTGCAACGGGCGGCTACTCGACCCAACAATCCACAGAACCATCTTGGGGCAAAGGGCCAGTAAAATATGGGGAATGGATTCGGCAAAGTCTCTCACCGTAACCCTCCGAATACCGCACCCGAGTACGATAGTACGTATCGGTATCAGGCCTAAAAGTCGGCACACGCCGTGATCGGCTGAGTTAATACAATACTTATCTTCATTGTGACCTGTGGGGTTACAAGGGCGTGTTTAGCACACCACGATGTGAGCTGTTCACTATCTCAAATCATGATTCGCGAAGGCCGACCAATCACACCAAACGAAGATGGTTTACATAAGCAGGTCTGGGATCCATACTACTGGTTAGTTTTCGAATCGCAAATCGCAAATCGCAAACCGTGATTTGAGATAGCGAACCGCCCAGATAATTGTGTGCGCGAAACACGCCCCCAATACCGATGTCTCAAAAATCAAAAGAAAGAAAGAAAGAAAGTAACACTTTGCCGATCGTAGATTAGCCCGCATCATTGTATTGTAAAACATAGGGCAATCGATATTTTGGGCCAGAGGCTTTCTGACTCGGTCGCTTCCTCAACTCTGTTTTAATGGTGACTCCAGCGAGCGAGTCCCCATCAACAATGCGAATCACCGCAAGAGAGAGAGCTAGTGAGACCTGACAAAGGGAACAGACAGCGGAGGTCGGAACCTGGCTGTCTGCCCCCCCCCCCTTCCCAAGTTCCTACTCGGGCATTCATAGAGTGTCCGGACACCTTTGTATGGGTTGGTATCATATTCGATCGAGACTCATTACGATGGCTGTGATGACTAAAGCAGAATAATTGGTTCCTCAGACATTCTATAGGAAGATGCGGTTAGTCTGATAACACACGTTGGATATTCAATATGCCCTGTTTCCATAATCAACTCTACCTTGTTCCAATATATGTACAGTGGCGATTCGGGCCCTATGGAGTGAACCCCGGAACGTTGGACCATCGAGGCACCACCCACCCACCATGAGACATATAGTTAGAACATGCAGGTTACAAAGGGAGGAAGCGGTTTTAGTAATATTATAAATCCCCCCCCTCAAGTTGAATGCATCCCTATAGTATTGGTTCGAGATAAACATTACAGCACCGTAAGCAGAAATTTCCAGGGCTCGGATATCCCGGGAGAGATTGTGGGAGGATCCCGGTACTGTACTTGTACTGTACGCAAACTACTTGATACCCGTACTGTTCCGCAGGGTCTTCCCCTATTGAGCTATGATACGGTATCATATCCACATCCTAGAAAAGTAAAAGGATATCCAATCGCAGAAAGTCCCTTTAACCTATTCGACTGTAGCTCCAACTGGCAACCCTTACAAGTAATTAGCACCTCACTTGCGGTGACAACCTAGGAGGTTCCACGATCCTCTCCCCCCGTGGAGCCAGAGTTCGACCTATGTTACCGCGCTGGGCAGCACAGCTGCTACATTGAGAGTTAGCACACCAATCAATACAGTGCTAGATCATCGTATATCACGCACCACCACCACCACCACTCGTACTTCGTCCCACAAGCCACTTCTGGAAGGGCTACTAACTGGATCGAGTGATATCTTATGAGTTCAATTCCGTCGAATGTGCAGATGTGCGGGGAGAACTGCAACTGGCATCTCAGTTGCAGTAGATGCTCTGGCAATGCAGAGAATACCCGATACAGAGGATTCAAGGTCGAAATGAGTTGCCAGGTATCTTCCCCGAGGCCGGACATCTTCAGAAACTTCGACTGTACGTTTTCTTCATCCTTTATCGTCATCCTATTGAAATCAAGCCCTTGGTATGCTTCTACCGCTTTCTACAGAAAAGGAATGGTTGTCCGTACGTGCTGAATCAATCATCCTATATCACGCCCAAATCACACCAGATTCCTTATGGGGAACACCCCGCGCGGGGAAAACCCTGAACAAACGCATAACCTGAGCCGACATTGTAACCAATTGACTTTGGACAGGGGGCGCAGCTCTCGATCCATGGCACTATTATTCGCGAACGACGGGAGGTGAGTAGGTGTTCCAATAGTGTGATATCAGCCAGCCAATGGGGTCGTTTTTTGCTCCGCTGGCTTGTGATAGTCAAATATTCAAGTACAGTAAATGAAGAGTGGCGGGGGCTGGTGCTAATATAGGTTACTGCACTGGGTGAATGAAGTGGACCCACCCTATTATATGAGGTGCCGCATGCGGTGAAAGTATTCGTACGCACTATACAGACCCGGAAGAATAGCTTGGGAAATAAGCAAATGTACCCTTAGATTGTTTATGTGAGAGAAGCCAAATCACATCGGAAATATAGCGAAGGTTTTCCGCAGACCCCTTGACAATAGATGGGCCTTTAAACCCTGGAAGAAGTAGAAAGGCATCTGTGCCGGAAATGTATAACACGATTTTCAACGATTTTCATCTGGTAAGTTATATACGAAGCAGGGGGCGGGCGGGTACTCGGAATCACATGAAACGTGCCTTATTCATAGAGTACCCTTTCCTTAAAAGAACCGCTCCCTTGGAAGGTGTAATAACATACCGGTAGGTATCATACATAATGAAAGCATTCAATAGCACTCTATCCCATAAGGGAGCTGAAAAACTCGAAGGAAAAAAAAAGCCGTCTTGCCCGCCCATCTTGTGAGGGCTTTTCCTCTCCGTTATCCCTCCATGATTATTTTAATAAACCTAGTGAAATTTTAGTGGCCGGAAACAATATGATTTTGGGCTTAATTGGGTCTCTAGCTTATCCTTTGGCCTAGTTGAGTGCACCTAATTCTTTTCGAGTGATAACATATGAATCTCTAGAGTTACTTGCCGCAACTTTATACCCTCCTGACTGGAAAAGACATAAGTTATAGGCTCTCTAGGTATAGCAGTATCACAACATCATATCATATCATATTATCATAGAATTTTCTGGTTCAAGACACCATGATCGAGACCGGTATGAAACAGCTCACGGAATGCAACACCCATTCAAGCCTGTGCGCCGAAAAACAAACATGATGATAAGTTACCTTTTGTCACCCTTTGCGAAAGGGCAAACCCTAACAGCAGCTCACACCTCACTTTTTGTCAACAATCTACCATAGTATAGTATGATGCCAGTATCCCATCATACCATGCATCAATTTCATGCGCAGTTCAACGGCCCAACCGTCGACAAATAAGAAGCCACTGCGTGAGCCGAAGCGCGGGAGTAACAGATTGCCCGCCGCCCTATGTCCTTGCTTACATTCCTAATCGAGCACAGATTCAAACACAACGGCACGGCAGTTTGTGAGGGCCACTGAATCTACTACGGTACTCGAGCAACGGCGATAACGGCGCGATGCTTCTCCTTTCGATCAGTTTCCAGGATGCCCTTTCTGTGCCGAAGTTCCATCATTTTTTTTCATTCGCTCCCTCTCCCCCCGCCACTCCACACCCTCAACTACATCCTTTTGACAGCCCCAGACCTTCCTCCACCTTGAATGCGGGGCGGGGCATCATCAAACACCGGCAAACCGTTAAGGAAACGAAAAGAAACTACACGCTTTCGGCTGGGAAACACAATAGCATGTGCTATTACGAAGATATCACTGAAAACAGATATATCACAAAAGGTTTTGGTTATCTATCATGCCAGCACGGTACCGCATATGCCCGCTCCAACCTGACAGGCGTATATCTCATGCTTTCGCCCCGTATTGGAGAAGGTTGATCCGAATGTGAGGGATTTTTGACGGCTGATGGCAGAAATATTCAAATCCACTAAGAATGTCGGCCTGACGTTTGCCAAACGGACTGTTATCGCCTACAACCCCCCCCCAAAAAAAAACAAGGTGGCCAGAACCCCAGAATTTTGATGGCAGTATATAATTATGCAATAGCGGTCCGTTTTGCAAAACGTCACGGTATTACCGAGGAGGAAGTGAAGTTGGTGAATTATAATTTACTTTCGTGGATTTTGTTTCCGCGGTGGTTTGGATTTTCCAGTGAAGGATGAATTCACACCCCTTCACAAAGTGTATCGCAACCCCTTCTCTTATGAATGGGAGCGGTTCCAAGTATCTCCGCCCCATTTTGGCGCACTGAAAGAGGTATTATCGTATTTCCATATTGCTAAGCTGTGAGTGGGGTTTTTATGTCGTAAGTCAGCGGTTGTATGATACTGTACTGTAAACTGTACGAGATATTGTATCCTAAACAAAACTATGATAGAAGATGGAACAAAAAAATATCATGCTAGCAACAAATCTCATGAGTGCAGGATTCAACCACCCAGCGGAAGGACGGGAAAGGCTCATAAACTAGAGAGCCAGGCCAATAGCGATTGTGAAGCGGGGAAAATTAAATTCCGAAATCCGAACATCTTGAAAAGCTCCCCACATCTTGACACTAACACATAACCAGTCACTTGATAACAGTTCGCAAAACTCTGAATCCCTTTTCTCTGGTCTGTGATTCATCCCGTGCAAAAGACTGGGCAGTCCCCTTCAACCTATGGCTTCGGGAAGCATCACCACTCACCACTCACCACTCACCACTCACCACTCACCCCTAACACTTAATTGTTAAGCTTTGGCTGAATCTTGTGGCGTTCCCATGCCCCCGGGATCCCATACGCGCACATCCCGCATTACCATCATTCCAGCGAGTG